CGTAAAGTATTCTCAAAAGTTTGTGGTTTAGGAGTTCTTCGAAAAAAAGATATTTTGTTCTCTTCGTTCTTTATTATTTTATTTTCACAATAAACTATTGTTACTATTGCAACAAAAATTAATATAAAAAGCATTTTTGATATTACGCAAATAATGTGAATGATCTTTTATATAGTTTTTATAAATTTCTATTCATTTTTGTTCTTCAACCTCAACAAAGTCTAAACACTCCAAAGGATAGAAATATTGATGCTGTCGTCCTCCGACAACGCAAACAAGAGGCAGCTGTGGATAAACAAGGTCTATGTGATGTCGAACATAGAAATATTGCCTAATTGTCACACGTAAGTATCCTCGTAATGCAAAAAGACGATCCGCGCCCATCTTAGTCAATTTACTTGGATATACTTCGAACTGAATATGTCTTAAATGATTTGTTACTATAGCCTTCTTTCCCGGCTTCATAGTGTTGTCAGAAAATGTTTTTTGACCAATTCCATTCATGGCAACATCTTCATTTGTCATAGTAGTAAGTGATTGAAGGAATTGAATATTTTCGTTGTATTTTTTACGCATTTCCCTGTGAAGGGATTCTGGTGCACATCCTCCATTAAATTTACAAAGTAATTGAAGTAACGAACCAGTTTTGACGCGCACATGAGGCGGAGGGGATTTTGATGAAAATTTAACAGGTTCTCTAAATTCTGACATATTAGCACTAGTACGAATGTTCATATCCCCGGGTAAAATTTATCTCTAAAAGCTTATTGCTCTTGGCTTATATACCAAGAGGCCCTTTCGCAAACCTCATTCCATGGAGTTCTCCGTTTCCATTTCTTCTCAAATTTACATGTGCTTTAAACACTACAGCCAAAACAAAAATTAGTAACAAATCGAGGACATAAGCGATTAATAAAAACATATCTTTATTAGGATTTCCTGAAGGACCGATTGAAAGCGCATGAGCTTCATCAATAATAAAACAGGCATTCACATTTGGAGGGTATGGGCCGTGAATCGGATAAAGTATATTACTATCGTTTTGCTTATAAGCGTAAATCACACAAAGGAAGAAAATTAAAAATAATGATTGCAGCATTTTTATTGCATAAACACTGAATAATTATCTTATATACTAATTCCTAATGATAGTTTCTTTATAATATTTCGTAAAATAGCATCGCGTCCCTCTGAAGGTATTGAGTGCAACTTTTGAAGAACAGATGAAAAATTATTACCCTGTTTCGAACGTAGGATGAGGAAGCAAATACAATAATGACCACAAGTATCTGACAAGGGAGATTGTAATGAAAATTTATTTTGTTTCACTAAGGAAAAATTGGCAAGCATTGACTTTCTCATGTCACAATTTGGTTCTTCGGCAAAACTGTCAAAATATTCCAATGTATTTGGAGTATCTGAATAACAGGCAATCCAGTGTTCACCAGCTGTGCCTTTACGCATCGTATTTGCAACAAAACAAAAAGGCTTTTGAGTTCCAATATCTGGAATATTATTCGAAGAAAACACGCCAATAAATTTATTATTTAGAGGCTTGTACCGTTGTAAAATAGTTTGAATTTGGAGAGAATTCATGATCTAAACTGATCCATCCGTACTTAAGACGCGATCTGCATTTATGGACATGATTGCATCAAACTCTCCCATTATTATCATTTCATAACCCGCGTCTTTGACGGGTTGATTAAAAAGACACCGTACGGTTGTTGTACCTTGTCTTATTAATTCTAGCCCATTTGTATCCTCAAGTGTTGAAGTCATCGGAATAACAAAGAAGCAGGAGGATTTTGAATATTCTTTCATACTGATATCGAGAGTTCTTTGATCAGAATTTGGCCAATTATCTAGATCCATACCAACATAAGTGTCAACATAAGCGCGAACGAAATTACCTTTAGCAAAATCAAGGTCATATGGCACCGCAGGAAATTGGAATCCTCCAAATTCTGCAGAGACAGAGCGCAAATTAGCGTGCTCAAAAGTAAATGGGGATAATGCAGTATTTCCAGTAAATGCAGGAGAACCTACAAAACAGATTATTAAACGGCGAGGACATGTACTAGTGAATGCGGGATGTGTAATTTCTTGTCGACCTTTTCCAAGAAATACACTCCGAATTTCTATTTTTCTATAAGCGTACTTCGCTGGAGACTGCTCTAAATGTCTAGAAATAGCATTATTTAGAGACATACTTAAATCGACTTGTTTAACATAAATTCTCATATCATGAAGACGCAGACGATAAGAGTTTGTATTACTTATCAGTTCTCCGCCCGTAGCTAAGCGATACTTAGGGGTATGAATAAGAAATTCATCAGAATTTCTGTAAATGGTCCAGATCACGTCACTATTCGGAATTAGAAGCTGATTCTGACGTGCCATATCATAATCTAAGTGGGAAAATAATCTACATGTTTGGCCATTAGCAAAACGAGAAGCCCGTGACTTAAAGCCACTACCTTCAAATGCATCCTTGTCGACGGCATCCTTATAATAAAGTGAAGCTTCATATAGTCCTTTACTCACCTCTCGGCTTGCTCCAAGCTCGTGTAGAAGTATACATCTATATGCATAATGGATACCTGAATCATAGCACTGAACACCATTAATTGATAGAGTTAGACGACGAATCCATGTAAGACCTAGATATTGAGCAACGCCTGTCTGTGATAGGAACCCATTCATCGCTAGTTGCATGTTTTCTTTCTAGGGATAAAACCAGACTAAAATAAGTTTTGCTCAAATCAAGATATAGCGAGTCCCCAAAGTACCGAAAAATAAAGGGGCCCGCAGATTGATTTAAAGCATTAAGAGGCAGTAATTCTTTATATGCCGAACGAATAATACCCACATTTGTAGAGGGAATAGAAAAGAAGGATAAACGGTTGTCTACACCTTCTGAACTATCTTTATCAATTTTCTTTAATGTTGTCATTTTTTACTTAAAGTAAAATAGTATTTAACATATACTTATATACTCAGAAATTTTATAAACTAAGTTGATCCCTATGGCGGCGGCCTTTGTTCCCTAAATTTCCGATAATAATATTTTGTTTGCGTTTTCTTTTGCCTTTTCCACATTGTTGGAGCTTTTTTCCTACTTTTTGAAGCCCTTCGCTTCCATGTTGCTTTAAGGCATCACTAACTGATCGACCTTGCGAAACATCTTCAAGGATATTTTTTCCAACATTAACTGCCTCTTGTCCTGCACTAGTAGCTAAATTTTTAACTATTGGCATTAGAAAACGACCTACAGATCCTAATAAACCAAATCCTCTTTGATAATTCGTTCCTTGAAAATAACGACTTCCTTCTATTAATCTTGAACCTCCATCTTGGGAGGCTAAGAAAGGTTCCCAGTCTATTTTATCTAAATCTATTGGTACATGTGTCATTTTTAAAATATAGAGCGTTGAAAGTGTAGTGTTAGTATACAGGTTCCCCAATGGAATTTTACAAGTTTTCCTGCTAGGGTACGAATTTCAATAGTAATGTCTGGATGACGTTTACCTAATATACGATGTTGATGCTCGGTCATATATACTTCGGAAATACTATCGCCAGGCTTACCAGTTAAATTCACAACACGTAATAGGGGAGCAGTTACGTTTCCAATTATACTATTTTCAACAAGCCTTGGCGCATAAACCAAAAATTGTCGAACCCCTCCAGAGATATCAGGCATATACTTTGCCACTTGTCCACTATGAACTTTCTCAGAATCAAAACCAAGAGTATATGCTAATTGACGACTTAATTGAATATATTGTACGTTTCCTTGTAAGAAGACATGGAACCTCTTATGCAATTTATCAAAGTGTACTGAAACCCATTGATATTTTGGATCGGCTAGTTGTATATTGGAAAAGCTAAGAAGCATTTTTAGATATTCAGGAGGATAGGCATATTTAGCAAAATGCATTTTCTTTACATTAGGATCCGAATCATCAACTCTTATTGTTAACTTTTCTTTGTGAGGTTCTGCTTTTTTCTCCGTTTCATGGTCTGGAAGCTCTTTAGGTTTTGTTTTGTCAGACATACCGCCAAGTCCAAAAAAGCTTTTCCACGAGGAGGGATGGTGAGGAGGCTCTCCAATTAACATTTCAGGACGTGGAAGAGAAGGCCGCTCTTCTGCATGAATTATGTCATCTACTTTAGGCTGCACAATATTTTTAAGTAAATTTGCGGTTGAGGGCGGAATACTTACAGCATCTTTTACTGCTAATGGAGGTGTCCATTGCTCTTCCTTAGCGTTAATTGTTTGAGATTCCTGCAGAGTCTCTTCTTGTGTGTTTTCTTCATCTTTTTCTTCTTCGATAATTGTTGTTTCTTCTTTTGCCTCAATATTTTCTTCAATATTTTTTTCTTCTGGTAATGGAGGTGTCCATTGCTCTTCGTCCTCATCACTTATTGTTTGAGATTCCTGCAGAGTCTCTTCTTGTGTGTTTTCTTCATCTGTTTCTTCTTCGATAATTGTTGTTTCTTCTTTTGCCTCAATATTTTCTTCAATATTTTTTTCTTCTGGTAATGGAGGTGTCCATTGCTCTTCGTCCTCATCACTTATTGTTTGTGATTCCTGCGGAGGTTCTTCTCTTGTATCATCTTCTTCAGTATCTTCTATTGTTTCTTCATATACCTCATTACTTTCTTCTGGTAATTGAGCTTCCCATTGCTCTTCGTCATCATCGGTTATTGTTTGTAATTCATGTTGTGTATCTTCTTGCGTATCTTCTTCGGCTGTACCTTCTTCTATAATCTTTGGTTTTTCGTTCGCCTCAATATTTTCTTCGATATTTTCTTCTGGTAAAGGAGGTGTCCATTGCTCTTCGTCTTCGTCGGTTAGAGCTTCATTATCATCATGCTCATCAATATTTTCCTCGATATTTTCTTCTGGTAATTTTTCATTTTCATCTTCAATATTTGAAAATACAGGAAATAGCGAAGCATCTTCTTTTGCAAGTTCTACGTCAACTTTACCAATAATTTCTTCTGATAAACGTTTTTGCCCCGCAACAGCTTCTTCAACCTGACTTGCTGCTTCCTTTACCTTACGTTCTGCGGCCTTAGCACGATCCGCAGCTTTTCTTGCTTCTGAAACATCACCGCGGGATTCTGCAGCTTTAGTCTCTAGTTGTGCTTCCGAAGCTCTTTTTCCATACTCTAAACATTCCTGTGTCCATTTATCAATTGCAATTTTACGATTAGTTAACAATATTAACTGAGATTTAACCCATTCAAGAATATTTTCAGGGGTTTTTCTTAAATGTACAATTTCGCCCGTTTCTTTTAATGTAATCACACTATCTTTTAACGCATACTTAAAGCGTGCATTCTGCCAATATTTTTCACCAAGTTCCATATTTATTTGTGCTTGCTCCGCCAACTCGACACTATTTCTCCATGCTCTTGTAGCTGCACGAACGGCCATTTCCATTAAAACTTTTTGATCATCAGTTAATAATTGCTTTTCATCAGGCTCCTCTACATATGAAAGGGGCGTTATTTTCCCATCTAAAGGAGTTTTGTCATTAGATTCAATGTGCTTTTCTTCAGGTATTGTCACTGGAGGCTCAGGAGTGCGCGGAGCTTCGATTATTGGACTTGTCATGGGAGTGGGCCGAGCTTCGATTATTGGGCTAGTCACTGGAGTGGGCGGAGCTTCAATTATTGGACTTGTCACTGGAGTGGGCGGAGCTTCGATTATAGGACTAGTCACTTCTGTAGCTGGAATAGAAATATCCTCATGAGCATTGGGTTCATTAGTAGGCCCTGTCTCTGAAATTTCTTCAATTGAATTAGTTTTTTCTTTATCATTTTCAACAAGACTTTCTTCTACAGAATCTGTTGTTTCTGATTGTTGAATATGCTCAGGCTCTGATGGGGATGAGGACATAAAGCTTTTAATTGCATTCATTATTAGATCTTTCTGATCAGGTTGTGGCTCTAATCTGACCGTCTCAACAGAGCTCCCCGCAACCGAAGATACATTTGGAAGTTTTGCGCCCTTAATTTCCGTATTTAAATATTTTATAAATTCATAAGCACGCTCTTTTTGCATATCAAAATAATTTTCATTTTGCAATTGTTGAGTGATAGACGCTAGCGAGAAATTAATCTGAGGTTTCTCATGCTCAACCACTGTTTGTGGAGTTGATTCAGATTCGATGGCTACATTTTGACTATAAACAGATGCAACCTTCTCCTGATCAACCTTCGAGGGATTCATAAATTCTGTAATAGCTTGTTCGATTCTATCCCTTTGATCGGTATACGGACAAAACCGAACCTTTTCTATACCATCAGCTGCAAGAGGGGCAGGGCTTATAGGGGGTAATCGAATTCCTTTTTTACCTAAAAATTTCATAAAATTAAAAGAGGTTTGCTTTTGCATATCGAAATAGCCATTTTTAGCCAATTGCTCCGCAGGTTCTAATGTTTGTTGTGAAAGAATAAATTTATCAATAACTTTCAAGTAAAGAGATTTTTGATTTGCAGGAGGCAAAAGACGAATATTTTTACTGCCTTCTCCTGGACTCAAATTTGTAAGTTTTGGACTAATTGCCTCATCCTCTTCTGATAATAGCTTGATAAATTTATTGAGTTCATTTGTATAAAGATCGAAATACCCATGTTTATCATACTGTTCTTTTATAGATTCGACAGAACGCCTTTTACGAAAATTCCCATAAATTCTTTTTTTATTATCTTCGAGTCTCTTTTCCTCTCGTTCGCGATCCAATTCCTTTTTCCAAACATCAAGCAAAACTGCATTAATAGACTCTTCCAATGCCTCTTCTGAGGCAAAGGACAAATCTGGTATCTCGATACGAATTGGTAAAAGTTCATTTCCGTATCTTCGAAAAACTGTTATTGATTCTTGTTCTTCGGAATCTCCGGCCAATGAAAAAGAAAACGGATAAATAATATTAGATAGTGCAACAGTCCAGCTTGAATCCAATTCAAGAGTATCAGGCATTCGAACAGTAAATTTAGAAGTGGTATTTCCTTCAACCCCTCCTGTATTTGAGGGCAATATTACATAAAAAGAGTCCATATTTATCTTCTAACAATATCGCTATCGTTAACCCAGCTATTAAAATTATCGTTATATCCTATCCAACGAACAAAATGTTGCTTAATACCTTGACGAGTACGTGTTTTTAAAATTTCAGCAATACGGTGAGTTGTATCTTCTTGCGTGGGAACCAATTCTTCTCTATAAAATATCCCTTCAATTAAATTTCCTTCAAAATCTTTTAACTTATATGTAATGGGCGATCTATTGTCGTTTTTAATATGCACGCGAAACAATTCGTCAGTGTAGTTGGGTAAATATCCCTTTTCAAATTTACCTTTTTCTTTAGTGATACGAACAATTTGTCCTGGCTCGAGTATTGAGCTTGTCTTAGTATTTTGTATATTTTTAGGATCCTTATATAGTCTGTTAAAAAGTTCCCCCGCATTCTTAAAGGTAACAGAATTGGGAGTTACACCTGTGGTTCGATTTATACTTGCATTTATTCCTGAAACAACTTTTTGAATAACATCCTTCCAACGAAGTGTATTCTGTTCGCTAAAATATCTGTACAAGCGCTCTTTGATAGTGCGGTTGGCCCTTTCTGCCATAGATGCATGCACATCTGGACTATAAACTACTCGCTTATCTATGTCCTTCTTTTTAAAATATTCTTTCATTCGTTTCGCCTCAAACTCTAACCCACGATCCGTATATAATTTATGGGGAAGTATCCCTTTTGAAAGTTTAAAAATGTTTTCGAACGCATCAATCATATTTTCAGAACTCTTAGATTTCGCAGGCACAGCATAAAGTTTTCTACTTAGTACATCAATACAAACCAAAAGATATTTGTACCCATCATTATCTTTAGCTAACTGATCAAAGATTGCCAAATCAGCTTGCCAATCTGTGTGTAAACCGCTTGGTCTAGTGGCCATTCTAGGAAACTTTTTTCTTAGAGGCCTGTGCATTGTGTATACTCTCTGCTTATGAAGAAAATCATAAACATATTCAAATTTTATTTTCGGGTATTTACGACGCGCTTCTTCATAGACGCGATTTATTCCTGCATAGGAGGCGGGTGAATTAAGTGAATAATATATTTTTTCTAAGAAGGTATCTAAAGCTTTTCCCATATTTTTGGAATAAATTTATTTTTTCGCCGAACAAATCCTGGTGAATTTATAGGCAGGACTTTTACTAGAACTCTCTTTTTTCTCTTACCGCTGCCTGATTGATTTTCAGAACTTTCCTCTGAAGTACTTTCTCCCCGCGTCTCTCTAATCATCTCTTTCACTAAAGGATCTTTAGAAAGACGATTAAAAAGAAAACTAAAACCTTTAGGGGGTGAAGATATGTCTCCCTTTACATATTCGAGAACATCTGTAAAATTACTATTTTTTACAATTGTTCCTGGAATGTTTGATTCAAAGCACCCGTTCTTGCGTATTCTGAACTTTTCAGAATTTTCTTTTACATAATTTTCCAATTCATTAGAATAGCGCTTTGCAATTATTCCTTTGAAGGGTGTAGAAAATTTATTTCTTAAGATTTTGGTTTTAGAAGATGATGCTTCTAATAAAGTATTGGGTTCTATGTTTGATCGTGGTTCTTCCTGCTCATCGTTTATAACTTTAGGTTTATGCGTAGGAGATATTGATTCTTGCAAGTAAGGTGCAACCTCTGATGTTTTACCTTCGTCAATAATTACCCTTTGAGGACGATTTTCCAACTCGTGTTTGAGTTGACGACGTTTTTTATATAACCAATTATATTTCTTTGCTTTTACATCTTCAGAAATTTTTGGATCATTCAATGTCCTTGTGATTTCTGCATCCGTTTGTGCTTTTTCCCTTTGTAAAAAGTCTTCACCTCGAATCATAGACAGAAGCGTATGATATTCGGTTTCGGGCACCATAATCATTTTCTTTGTATGTTTCATTCTTGAGTGAATTTATGAATAATATGTTCCGTTAATGCACCTAGAATTGGCACTAAAATTGCTGCTAAAGCGGCACTGCCTCCTTGTTGGATTCGATTTCTTGCACCTTTTTCAGTACGCGTCCGAGCGATTGCTCTGTAAAAGTCAGCAAATTGAGCTAATTTTCTACGCTGTCTCCTACTTAGAGTAAAATTATTTTTCAGAATATTAGCACAAATTTCTACAATGGCTAAGATTTGATCTGCGCTTGCTGAAAGAATAAGAGCGTTTTTCTTTTTATCTGAAGTAGTTTTTGCTAAACTTTGGAGAAACTCAAAATTTTCCTTAACGTATGGACTATAGTTATACGTGGGCATTTTTATCTTACAATTGTTTCGAGCACTTATATATTACAGCGGCAAATATATAGTAGTCTTTTCTCCAGGAAATATTTTTGTGGATAGTCTCATATTTTCATCAGTGATAGGATGCATGTTTATTAATAAATAAGAAAAACGTTCCGATGTTGCATCTCGATAGGCTTCAAGAAAATAATTAAGCATTTTTGGAAAAAGCTGCGAGCCGAGTGTCCGTACTTGCAGAAGGCCTTGAGGGTTTTTTGTTAAAAGAATATAATGTGCATTTGCTCTTGCGGTCTTTATATCGCGTCCATATAGGGATTGAGTTACAAAAATCACACTTACGCCCCAATTATGTGAACCTCGAGTAAAAAGTAAATCTAAAAAATCATTTGGAATATTAAGCATTAAGTCATCTAAAACTAAAAGCTGATACTGCTTAATTAGTTCAGATTCAGGAACTCCGTTATAAGTAGTGATTCCCATTTCCTTGAGCTTAAAAACAGTTTCATTCATTTCTCCAAAACAGTACAAAATTTTTGATGGAGGAGGATCTATGAGTTGGTCAGAATGTGCCAGGAATTTTAATAGCCATTGGGTTTTGCCACTTCCTGTGGCACCCGAAATAATCATAGTAAATGGTGCGCTAAACATTTTATATAGATGTTTTATATAGGGGCCTCTATAGGGATGCTTTATATAGGGTCCTCAGCCCGTTGGGTTAGTGCCACTCATTCCCCTCAAGTGCCCTATTAGGCACGAATATAATGTGCGGCTGTCACATAGATCTCGTCTATCCCTAACTACCTCGGGTATGCGTTTTTGACGGAATAAACCATCAATATTTCTACTCTACTGAATGCTTAGATTATGTAGATGTTGAGGAACAGAAAAATTAATTTCATATAATTTTTATTCAAATAAGATTTAAAATATTTTTTCTTCAAAAATTAATTATTTAAAAATTTTATTTTCTTTTATTATTTTTGTTTAAAATATTTATTCTTCAATATTTATTATTTAAAAATTTTATCAATTTAAAAATTTTTATTTAACAACATTTAATAATTCAAACTTTTTGCTTTTTTCTTTAGTTTGTACAAAATTTTTAATTATTTTTTCATTAAAATATTTTTTCTTCAGAAATTAATTATTTTATTTTTTTAAATTTATTATTTTTTTCAAAAA